AAGGAAGGGGCCTCAATGTGCCAAGGCTTTGAGAGCATGGGCAGTGCTCACACCAATTAGGCTTCAGGCCTGGACTTAGCAGGCAGGGAGAATTGGAAAAGTAGAAAATGGCCACCACTGTAAAGGAATTTTTACACCCAACTGAAAAATTCTGATTTTTCTACCTTGTGGTAGTCACAGCCTTGAATTCTGGAGTCAGACAAAGGTTTAAACTCCAACTTCTCCGTTTAACTGTTGGGGGTGCTTTTTCTTCCTCTCTTCATCATTTCTTCCTTGCAGCCTTCTTTTTCTTTGGGGGTAGGCAGGACTAGGAGGGGTGTGAACTCTCTAGCCTTTCCACTTGTTAGGCAGGTACCCTACTATTGAGCCATACCTCCAACCCTTGGGGGATACAGTCTCTCTTCTTTCCAAGTCTGTGCCTGAAAGCAGTTCACCTATTTTACACTTTCATTGTAGCTAGAATGACATGTGCTCACCACCACACCCAACTTCTTCTATTAGGATGGAGTCTCTTAGACTTTTGTGTTCCCTAAGCTAGCTTGGAACCATGATCCTCTAGAATTTAACCTCCTAATCAGCTAAGATTTCAGGCTTGAGCATCAATGCCTGGCTTTTTATCTTTCTTGCTTTCCTGCTTGCTTTCCTTCTTTCTCCTTTCAGTCATTCTTTTTATTTTTGATTTAAGGTTTGGTTTCACTTCCCCCTCCCAAAAAAAATGACTACGAAAACTTCAAAGATGCACGGAAGTAGAAAGATCTATGCAACACATCTCCCTGGACCCATCAAAATCCAGCCTGCCTCATCCATACTCTTCCTCTTCCCTTATTACCAGCCTCCACACCTGTTTCACTGGCCCAGGCCAGTTAGGCAGCAGGAGAAGCCTGTGTGGGGCATCTGTGTACAGAATCTGTTTTACAGATCTGCTCACAGCATCTGTGAGTAGACAGGCTAGGAGAGGGTATCAAGAGGGGGCCTCTAAGAGAAACTGAGGCCCCCACGGGGGTCTCCTGTTTTAAAGGGCCTGTTCCCACTCTCCCCTGGCCACCTTTGCCACAAGAAAAGTAATCCCAATGAAACATGCCAACCTAGAGCCTAAACTTCCCTCTCCCTCTGTGGGCACTGGGGCCTGGAACCTAGGAAATCTCTGCCCAGATAGCTGAAGACCACTTTCAGGACATGAAATGGCCCGTGTGCACTCTCCACTAGATCTTAGAGGTGGGCAGGTGTCTGGCAGAGGGAGAGGAAGGGAGCCAGAGATTAGGCCTGTGGGCTGGGTGACAGGCATCCCTGTGAGGTCTCTGTAGACATGAAAATGTAGATTAGGAGCAAAGGTCCCTCCAAGTCCCCACTCTACTCTAGCTCTACAACTCATAAGCCTTAAGGACAGGCCTCAACCATAATTTCTCTGCAGGTTCTTCACTTAAATATAGGCTGTTCATGGCCTCTGTCAAGTCACCGGGTAAGACTGCTAAAGATGCCAGGCACTGTAAAGGTGACCTTGAAATGCTGGAGTCAAACCGCACAATAGACATCAGAATATGGCGGCCCTGCATCTGTTCCATCAGTGAGCAGACAGGTTCGAGAATTTTCTCCCTCACACCAAGCACTGGAGGCTTATGGCTGTAATCTTAACTACTCAGGAGGCTAAGATCTGAAGATCAAGGTTTGAAACCAGTTCAGGCAAACAAATTCAAGGGACTCTTATCTCCAATTAGCTAACAAAAAGCTGGAAGTAGAGATGTAACTCAAATAGTACAGTACCAGCCTTGAGCAAAAAAGCTTAAAGGAGAGAGCAAAACTTTGAGTTCAAGCCATTAGAGTACTAAGATAGGCATTTGGTCCTTCTCTCCTTCCTCCTCTCCACTCCCCTTCCCACAAAGTCCCCCTAAAGAGAACAACACCCCATTGCAAAACCCCTTGTTCCCAATCCTAAGAGATTTGACCTGAACTCTCCCTATCCTATTTAAAGGAAAGACCAGCTGTGAGTTCTTCTATTCTTTGCATGAAACTGACTGAGAAAAGATATTAATGCTTCCTAGAATTTTGCCATTAAGCAGTATTGTATGTCTTAACAGAAATGTACCTAAAGGGAAACCAAAAGTAGATAAAGCAAATTAGAGCAGCCCACAATAGCAATTGTTTTTTTAAAATTCCTGAGTGGATAATATGTGGTTTCATTTAAATAAGAACACAATCTCCATTAACTTAATTTGTCTACGCGGTGACTTCAACCGTGTAGTGCCTCCCCTAGGAATGCATTTTTAGACACATTATTGCTACTTTGAGATTAAAAGTGAATCAGTCCTGTGGAGTTAATTACTAGTAAATTAATCTAAAGTAGGTCTCCCACATGGCATGGAGCCAGCCGATGGTTCTGGGCACTAACCAGAAACAAAGGCAAAGCCATTGGTATGTGTGGCAAATTATAGAACAGAAAGGGAAATTGTTTGCATTGCTCAGGTGAGAACTACCGATAGAGGCCCAATTAAAACATCTGTTGACAAATCTAGAAAAGTGGTCCCTAACCCCATCTCTCAAAAAGGAAAATCTTCAGCTCTATCGTTACAGCCAATTTCCCAACACTTTCAGAAAGGAAATTATGCTGTGTGTGTGTGTGTGTGTGCGCACGCGTGCGCGCGCACCCGTGCACACGTGAGCATGTGTGTGCATGCACACCAAAGACTGAGTTTACATGCTGGACTTCACCCTTGTTCACTCAAGACTGGTGCTCTACCAACTGAACCCACCTCTACTTCCATCTTTTTGCTGGTTAATTATAGATAATAGTTTATCCAATTTGCCTGTCCCAATTGTCTTCAAACCTCAGTCCTCAGATCTCAGCCATCTGAGTTGCTGGGATTATAGGTGTGAGCCATTAACTGTGAACCCAGCTATGCCTAATTTTTTAGCTGCTGATGTGTGGACCTTAACATATAAAGCAGAAACCATTTACGACACTAAAAATTAAATTAGAGACAGCCAAGAGAAGTTACTAGTGTCCTTTCTAGTGCCTGGAAATACCATAGATTCTGTCTCTATGTCCTCACAGTGATGGAAAATGAGAAACAGAGGCAGAAGAGACAGAAAAAAAAACAGAGGGGGGGGAAGCAGAGCAGTTGAGCTTTAATTAAACATTCTGAATCAAGGAAAATGGGAACAGACAAAATTTTAGTAAGAGAGAAATGATGCGTGCATAAAGAGGATAGATCAATAAAATGACATGATTTGTATCCGTGACAAACATATTTATTTTCTTTTACTACAAACAGATCAAAGTTTCCCATAAGTATTCAAGTTCACAAATGTTCCTGGTATCCTGGCTTCAAATGTCCAGGAGTGTCACTAAACCAGCTGTCCTGTCCCTGGATGGTACAGTTCATCTTGACTGTAGGCCCCAGATTTGATGTCATTAGCAGTCTGGTAAATGATTAATATTACTTCCTTCCCATTTTAATTGTATAAGGTTATTTCACATGGTGTTGCATATCAAATGTCTCTAAATAAATTTAGTGCCAAAGATAGAAGTGATAAGCTTCAAAATAATACATCTCAGAAGAGTCCCAGTTGAACTCATATATATGTATATTATATATATAGTTATATATATATATATATCACTGCCTTTAACAGACATGAGATTAATGTTAAACATCAATATCTATGAATTTACACAAAACAGTGTTCCTTCCTAATGAGTGATTTGTTTAAACCCTGAAAGAGACAGGTAGCTTTGCAGAGCCAAAGTGTATTATTGTTCCATTTCAACTACAGTTCCATAATTGGAACATAAAGTCCCAATCAGGAGTTTTCTCATACATGAGGTCAAAACGAGAAGATCTCTAGCTAGCCAGAGGTATTTCTGTGTCTCTTTTCAAATGATTGAAGGCCAGTTCTTTTAGTTTCGGAAAGAAGTCAAATGTCCTTGTCTGATGGGTATTGCTTTAGGATACCACATGCCCATTAAGTTCTAGCATCTAAGAGCATGCAACGGCAGCTACTATTAGCTATGCAGCTATGGCGTTGTTAGTGTCTCCTTATATCATGTGCATGGAGATATTTTAAAGAGAAAACAGAAGGACTTATTCTCCCTAACAACCATTTATAGTACAGAATGTTCAAAGCTTGCAACCAGTCTTAAGGCAAATCAGTTGGTTACAAAATGAAGGCGGCCACAAACGTGCATGCTTTAGAAGAATGTGAACGTGGTACCTAAAATAAGAAAATCCTCTTGTTTTCCCAATTCCGTTTCTGGCTTCAGACCATCAATGAACAAACTAGAATTGGTTCACACTGTAGCACTCCATACTGGAAATGCAACCCGTCTTAGGAGATGTGAAGAAAAAGGAGTGTAAAAGAGGAAGTGTGGTTTGTTTTCCCACTGGCTAAGATTCTATCTCATTCAAAAAGGACTTGGCTCTATTAACAAAAGAAAGAAAGAAAGAAAACACTTTAAGAATAAGGGGTTTGAGATCTTTCGTGGCATTTTACACACCTCTGTACACATCTGCGGCTTCAGTCTTCCAGATTAAGAGACCAAGATTTCATCTACCAAAAGATCCTCTCTGCCTATTCTTCCTTCCCCAGTAGTATTTCCTTTCGTTCCTACACACTCCAGGAGCTTCCTAGGTAAGACGATGAAAAGTGGGAAGGGTTAGATTCTCCTGAAATCTCTCTTTTAAACACAAAACTGTCTGGAAAATTACCTGGTTGGTTCTTTTTTTTTTTTTTTTAATGGCAAGTTGTGCAGAGTTTTGACTTGAGGATTTCTCTAACACAGAGACACAGAAGGATAACTAACACCTCCAGGTGGCCGGACACCATGACCCCACTGGAGGGAAGACCTGGGTTCAGGTGTTGCCCTAGGCCAATGGATGGGGGGTGAAGGGTGGGGGTTTGTTGGGCTTCCAGGAGTCTTTGCCGGGTTTGGGGTGGGGAGGGATGGAGGGAATCAGGGGGAGACCGTACAAGGGGGATCATGGGCCGTTGGCCAGCCGGCCGGGTCACCAGTGCTGGCCCGCGGCGCGGGTGCCCAGCTGGGCCTGGGACATGGCTGGCATGGCGGTGGCGGCGGCGGCGGCGGCGGCCGCCGCGTCCCCGACGCCCGGCAGGACGGAGCGCACGGAGCGCCGGAACTCCTCGTTCCTCCAGGTGTAAAGCAGCGGGTTGAGCGCGGACAGCGCGCAGCACAGGAGCCAGCTGGCCGCCTGCACGCCCCAGGGCACGGGCAGCGAGAAGCCGCTGGCCAGGCTGACCCACACGAGCGGCTGCGTGGCCAGCAGGAAGACGCAGCAGAGCAGCAGCACCGACAGCCCGCTGAGCCGCCGCTGCGCCCGGCGCGGCTGCAGCGCGGGGGGCAGAGGCTGCGGC